CCTTCCTCTCTCCTCTCCAGTCTCTAGCTCAGGCCATAACTCTCCCACTCCTCAGGCAAAGAAGGGACCTCTCTATCCATTGCTACCTGGCAAACTGTTCTGCCAGTCTCTTCTAGTAATGCCCCTCCCCTGCCCAGTACCCTTCAACAGCTCCCCATAACCCTTCTGAATGAAGATCCTGCTCTCCCAATAACACAAGTCCCCATCTTGAACCTCCCTTCCCAGGCCCACACTCAGTTATTTCCTCATCCTCTGCAAACACACATCCTAAGAGGAAGAACCCAAGGACCTCCTCCACCCCACCCCATCTTGTCCCACACTTCTTATCTCCCTCCCACTTACCCCTGAATCCACCTGGACATTGTCCTCTATCACCCCTTCATCCTGGCATCTGCAGCCAAGACATCATTCATCCACTGGGTGGGGTTTCCCAGGCCCTGCCCTTCCCAGTCTGCCATCTACTTCCCATCACTACCCATCTACTTGATGGGAAGTGATCCCCCAATCACCATTCTCACCTTTATCCTCAATGGAACCCTTGTCCCCCAGTGCATCCACCTCAAGCTGAGTGGAAGCCTTGGGGCAGCTACTCAAAATACCTGCTCTAGCAGCTCTGCTACTGTGTCACATTAGAGTGGGACAGTCCAGGCCCACAAGCCCTTCAGCTTCTGCAAGGGGCAGGTGGGAGATCTAGGCACCCTTAATGACCAAGCCCCCTAGACCCAGGTGCTTGTCTGCCTGCTGCTAGGTAGCACACACTGAATATCTACTGTGCCAGCAGCTCAAGGGCCCTGCCAAGATGGTGTTATATGTGGGTCCCAAATGGCCACCAGGGGGCACTGGAGCTCCAAGGTCCCCTGAGCTTCCCCTTTCTCAACCAGAAGCCTTGGAACCACAACTGTATGACCTGGGGCAGGGGGACTCAATTCCCTGCACCTCACTTTCCTAGTACTTGAAATAGGTGTCATAATGCTTTTGCTTTTGAGACTCATACTAAAARGGGGCCGAGGTGGAGAAGAGGCTTGGGAAATGTCTGCTGAATCATTCACATCCCTCTGGCTACCAGTTCCATGGTTGCCTGGGATCCTGTCAAGAACTGGGAAGGAAGGTGAGCCTGGGTCAAGGAACCGGTGGTACAGATGGAGAAGGACTGGGGGCCCAGAGAATTAATGATGGCAAGCTCATTCTGGATCCTGACAGGCACCTGGCTGCACAGCTAGCTGCATAGCAGTGCCAGCTTGGCCAGAGACGACAGGCTCACCCTAAACAGGCTGAGCCGCTCCAGGAAACTTAACTGCACTGAGACCAGCCAAATGCCAGTCCACTGCCAGGCAGCTGTCTGACAACAGCTCTGTCACCTGCAGATACTGACCTGGTTATCCTCAGCTGAGGCTGAGAGAAAAGGTGAGGTCTCCTGGGGGCAGGTGGCACGTGTCAGTGGTGCCGAATGTCCCTATTCTGTCCCTCTCCTTCCCCACACAGTTATACAGCTGCACTCCAAAGAAACCCCACTCTTCCAGGTCAACCCTAGCCCACCCTCACTTCAGGTTTCTTAAAGACCTAGGCTAGGAGCCAAACACACAAAGGGAAGTGGGGTCACGCCCTCTGGTGGCCAGTGGTAGAAGCCTGCACACCTCACCTACTCACACCCCAGTAAACGGTGTGGGGGGTTACCCAGACACAATTTCAAGTTCCTGGCTCAAGATGACCAATCCCAAGCCCAGGGAATCCCCAGCTATCATTCATTCCTTGATCGTGCACCTACTGTATGCTCTTGGTCAATACTCACTTGTTCATTGGTTCTTTTACCAGTCTTCCCCCACACTCACCTGTCCTGGAGACCCAGAAAGGAACCACATCTGGTCATCCTTGCCCTGCTAAGAGGAGTCCTACTTTAAATGAGGGCCCATGTCTGGAAACTGTAACCCAGGATGAGGATGCACTGGCACAGAGGCCTTCGAATCCTGCCCATGTGTTCAAGGCAAGAGGAGTCTCCCTCTCAGTCTCTGCAGGGTCTCTCTATAGTTTAAATAAGCACAGGAAAATTCACCCAGTATGCACCAGCAGCCTGGGCACCACATGGGATCTGGCCCATCGCCTGGGTCAGAACCTGCACTTTGAGTGACCAGTTCAATTTAGCCATGCATTTGAATCATCTGCCAGAGTCTGAAATAAAAACCCTTGCTCGGGCCTCATCTCAGACCAAGTAAGTTAGAATCTCTGGGAGACTGTAAACTGCTCAGGCAATTCCAACATGTGGCCAAACTGAGAATCAGGGCTCTGCACTCTTCTGGTGGGTGTTTTTTCCCTATCTACTGAGACCAGGTCACAGATTCCTAATGGACTGAGCTCTGTGGACGGGGCTTGCCCTATTCTGGGAAGGCCTCTACACCCTATGTGCCTTCATCCCCTCTTTTCAGGACTCCAAGGGGCCACACTGTTTTTATTGTGTCCAGTCTTACGGTTCCTACTCTTTCCACTACCTTAAGTCACAGGGAATCTGGTGTGTCTTCACATCCCCTTCCTCCTTGGGGGCAAGATCTTTGACACCACTCACCCATCCACCCCCAAATTTCCATCCTACTTGAGTTCTCTGCCCTGGATACCTGCCCTAGCTTGTGGTACATCTGTCACCCGAAAAGGGAAGTCCTGCTGAGAGTGGCRGAAGAAGTGTGGAAATGAGGAAGGCTGGTGAGGCAATAAGGGCAGGCAAATGTGGGCTCACAACCCCACTGCCCCCATGTACTGGATCTCCCCACCTCCCTGGTGGCCTCCTAAGTCCCACAGCCAACTGTACCCCTCCATACCAAGATGTCCCCCTCCTGTGGCTCTCCASCCCTGGCTGAATTTTGTCTTGGCCTGCCTCTTTGCAGGTAGGTCACCAAGGCCTGGAACTCAAGTCTTGAGATCAGGACACAAAAGTGGTTATGAGTTAAGAGGGACAGAGGAGAATCAAGAAACTAGTGACAACTATTGACTGGGTTGGGGATATGCTGATGCCCAATGCATTAATTGCAAGGACACCAGCAGGCAAGACAGAACTACCTCAAGGGAAGACAGAAGTGTCCTCAAAGGATCTGGGGACAGACCAGAGCGGTCTCCGCCTATTTTCCTTCCTCCCCTGTCTTCCCCACCCTCACAGCAGCCCCTACCTTGTGTGCTGGCCTGTAGAGCAGAAGCCACAGATACTTCCTGAAGGCAACAACCTCAGCTCAGAGCCCACCACCCTGTAGCTCATCATCAGCCTGCAACCATGGTGAGTCCCCAAGCCCCAGGACAGGCCCATACTGGCCTGGAAGCAACAATCATAGCAGGTAGAAATTGGAGTGGCAGAGTGGGGCTGGGAAATGGGAATGTCCCACACCAAACCCCTAAGGTAGGAAGCAGTCAGGGCACAGCTCTAGGACACGGTTCAGGCTCCTGTGGCCCAGGCTTAAGTTGTAACTGCAGCGGGGATGAGTGGGACTGCCTGGGAAGACTCCCCTTTCCCTAGATCAACATGATCAGCAAACAAGGAACATGAAGCCAGGATGAAGAGAAGCTTCCTATGGGGTGACTAAGTGGGTCACGAACTCTGGCCCCTGCCATTACCCAGTCACTCATGTTGTGACCTGCTGATCATGACTTATCCAGCCTTGGGTTCACCTGGGAATCTTTGCCTCAACCCATCCAGTTGGGAATTTCAAAAGAGGAATTTCAGGGCCCAGGCAGGAATCATCATCTTTGCATGTCCCCTCAGAGGAGGCCTGGCCTTCTTGTCCATCTGTGGAAGTTGTCTGTGACCCATGGTTCAGGGTCAGCTTCAGGGACACCTGGAGACCACGTGGTACATGTGCCTAACGGGTGCCTGTGGGTGGGAGCCTACCTGCTCGTCCTCATGGAGGCTGTCAACTCTGAGCCTCCTTCCCAGGCAGTCCAGGTGTCAAGAGATTGTGAGCTAAATACCTACATATGCCTCCAGATCTGTGATGGTCAGACTGAGTATATGTCTGTCTTTGTGGCTCTGTGTAGTCTTTATGTCTGCAAATATTTACTGAACACTTACTATATGCCAGGCACTGGGAGGTCAGCAATGAATAGGCCATAGGGGCTAGGGGAATTTGGTGTGTGTGAGTGCTTGCCCAGCATGTACGAGACCCTGGGTTCAATCCCCAACACCAAAACCAAACAACAACACAACAACAAYAAAAGCAACCACCCAGTCAAGGAATATTTTTTAAAACCAATGCAGTAGAATTAGTATGTGGTRGCAGATATGAACAGCCACACAGGCTGGGGATAATGGGGAGCACTAAAAGGGAGTCCTCCATAATTTAAAGAGATATTGGGTCAAGACTTGGAGAAGAGAAAGGAGACCCCAACATGATGGAGAGACATGTCCCAAATGAGGGGTAGGGCAGAGCTCCCAAGGTAGAAGGGAGAGGGAAGAGGCTGGGTCGTTCAGGGCCTTCAGGAGACCATTTGCTTTTCCTGGGATGATGAGTTATCATTGGGCAGTTTTTTGGCAGGTTTCCTCCAGCTGCTGTGGGGGAACTGAGTTAGGCTGGGGGCTACAGGCAGCAGACCAGGGAGGAGCCTGTTATAATAGTCTGGGAAGTTGGTGGGAAGGTTCCTCCCACTAGGGTTTCAGCGGTGGAGGCAGTGAGAAGTGGCTGGAATCCGGATGTGTTTTGAAATGAGAACAGAAAGGCCTGGGAGGACACGGGGAGGGGAGGGGAGGAGATGTGGAAGGAGGGGAGGTGGAGGGAGGGGGTCAAGGATGCTGACTGGGAGGCTGTTGGGGCCACTAGATGGGGAAGAGGCATCAGTAGCAGCCCCAGTCCTGCCGAGATTAGACATCTAAGTGGTCAAGTCAGGAGGGTGTGGGTTTCAGGGACTGGGGTCAAGGGGGTAGTTCTTGGCCAAGAAAAGAAGTGGCCCAAGGGCTGGAGTCAAGAAGAGGGGGAGGCAAAACAGGAGAGGAAAGGGGATGGTGATGATGGGTTTGTCTGTGACTGACCATGTCCATGGGTACCCAGGTCTGTCTCTCCATTATGCTCTGTGTGTAAAAGCCCCTGCCTGACATTCCATGTCCCCTAGGGGAGCCATAAGGATTTCCGGAGCCTCCAAGCCAAGTTCCAGGCCTCTCAATCAGAGCCTAATGAACTTCCTAAAAAGCCCCCAAAGCCAGAGTTCAACAAACTGCTGAATAAGTTTCCACAACCTGAGCTAAGTGAGCAGCCCCCAAAGCCCTTGCAGCCTGATGTCAGTGAAGCCCCTCAGAAGATCAATACAGCGTCCTTGAGGCCTCCGCAGCCCCAATTTGCTGATCTTCCCAAGAAGCCCTTGAAGCCTGAGTTTACTCATCTCCCCAAGAAGCCCCAACAGCCGGAGTTCACTGATCTCCCCAAGAAACCCCAGCAAACTGAGTTTACTGATCTCCCCAATAAGGCCTCCAAACCTGAATTCACTGATCTCCCCAAGAAGTTCCCACAACTTGAGTCCACTCCATTTCTCAGGAAGCCCCTACAGCCCGAGGTCAGTGAGGCTCCTCAGAAGATCTGGCAGTCAGAGCCCAGCACACTTGTCCAGAAGCCCCCACAACCAGAGCTCAGCAACCCCGCCAAGTCCCCTGCAGAACCCAAACTCAGCACATTTCCCAAGAAGCCCCCACAGCCTGAGTTCAAATTCAGTGTGCACCCCAGGAAGCCCCAACAGCCTCAGGCTGGTAGCTTCCCAAGGAAGTCCCTACCACAACAGCCTGAATTCTCTGAAGTCCCTCAGTCGCTTCCCTCAAAGTCCGGGCCCAGTGAGCCCCAACTCCTTTCCCCAAAGCCTGACCTCAATACCTCACCAAAGAAGCCCCCACAGCCTCAGACTAGTGACCTCCATAAATTCTTAACACAGCCTGAGCTTAGAGAGGTCCTTCAAAAGACCCCCCTGGAGAAGTCTGAGCTCAGCAAACCACATCCCCACTACCTGCAGCCAGGCCTCAGTGCATTTCCCAAGAAGCCCCCACAGCTTCAGCCAAGTGACCTCCCCAAGAAGGTCCTGCAGCCTGAATTCAGTGACCTTACCAGGACTTCCTCAGAACCTGAAGTATTTGTGCTTCCCAAGAAGCCAAGGCAGCTTGAGTTCAAAGCACTTTCCAAGATGACCCCAAAGGCAGAGCTCGGCAGTCTCCCCAGGACCTCCTCAGAACCAGAGTTCAGCTCATTGCCCAGGAAGTTTCAGCAGCCTGAGCGCCAAGGGCCACCTCGCAAGTTCTCCCAGCCTGAGCCCAATGATCTGCCMAAGAAGCACCTACAGCCTAAATTCTTCAGGGATCTTTCCAGAAAGCCCCCACTCCTGGGCTCAGTTTCTGAGAGCTCACTGCCCTCTGCCACCTTGGGCTCCAGCCCCCGGTACCCACTCAGCCCTGGATTTGGAGCCACTGGGGCAACCCGCTGGAGGTCAGAAGACTTCAAAGCTCACAACCCACCCCAGCGGAGGCCACTGCCCCCAGCCAGCATCCTGGGACCACCTCCAGCCAAACCCCCACTGCCCCCAGTCCCCATGGATATTCAGAGCTTTCGGAGATCCTCAGCAGCATCCACAGGTGAGTCAAGATGGGCTGCACAAATAGAAATGAGGGGGCTAAGGCTCCTGGGCAGTGCCATCTCCCTCTCATGCTCTCCCCCCACCCCCACTCCACAGCTCTGCGGAGGACTCGCTCATCTGCTGGGACCCACTTCCTGGCCCAACAACCTAAAGACTTCCCATGGTGAGTGAAGGGAGGAAAGGGGGAGGCCAGGCACCCTTTATGGGCTGAAGGAGACCCTTATCTCAGGTATCCCTGCAGGGACCCGGACGAGACTTATGAGCTATATGACAACGTAGAGCCCACGGAGGACTCAGGCCCCAGCCCCAGAGGCAGAGGTTTGTTGGTGGTCTGCTCAGGGTCCTGTAAAGCACTGGTTGCAAGGGCATTTTCTGCCATGTTCCTGGTATAAGGAACCAAAAGCAAGGGACCCCAGAGGCTCACGATTGAGAAAAGGTAGGCAGCAGTGTAGCCCARGGTGAAAGCAGAAGGCATGTACAACAATGGAAGAATCCAGAGATCAAAGATGCAAATAGGACTTAACAAGTGTGAGTGAGCCGAACACATGGTTGGGTCCCAAGTATAAAGTAAGCCTAGTCTTCAGGTACACAGTGGAGCCAACCCAGGGTTAGGGACAAGTTGCTATGTTCCACATTAGACATGTGTCTGAGGTACCAAGGGATGTCTGAGCCTAAACTCAGGAGAGAGACGGGTAGAGACAGGTATAGCAGTGGTGGGAAGGGAGGCCACTCTGCTCTAGATTCTAAAAGACCCTTCCTTCCTGCTCCTGGAGGGCAGGGTCAACCCTAGTAGGCCTATGCCTCCAGGCTGCAGGAGTTTTGAGAGTTTGGCTGAGAATGAAGTGGCAGCAGCCCTGACCAGACTCTCTTCCCATAGCCTAATCTAAGAACAGCCCCCAAAACCAGCAAGGACCTTCCCTGGCAACAGTAAGGGCTTCCATGCAAGCACTCGGCTGAACCTGCAGCCCATACTCCCTGCACCAAAACAGTATCACCTCCCCCACCCCCTGCCATTTCACTGACRTGGCAGTTTGAGGATCTGAAAGTTGCCCAAGCCACAGCCAATGTGGGAGCTTCAGTCAGACCCTCCTGCTCCACTCCACCATCTCTCAGGGAGACGTTCTACAGGGAATCTGGCCTTTAGGGTGCTCCTGCTCTGCCCCCCAGCCAGAGGTTCTGGTTCAAAACGTAGCTGGCTGCCTCCTGAGTCCCTGACGCCTGCTCCTTCCTGGGCCCCCTTCTGCTTCTCCTGAGTGACCCCCAAGACCTGCTTTCAACACCTCCTTAGCACACAGCTTCCTGGCAAGGCCCCTTCTATTTCCGCTCCTGGGAGGATCTGTGGCTGCTGGGTAGAAGCCTGGCTGACACTGTGGTCTTGGCAAGGAGGTCAAGCTGAGTGCAAGTAGGGTGGGTGGGTACAATGCTGATGCCATTCAGAAGGCTGCAGGGGAGGGTGCAGACAGGCACTGCTGACCTGAAACACCCAATGACACAACAGGTCATTCAGAGAGGACAAGCTGTGGCCCCAGGTTCAGGCCTTTCACTCACCTGAGCTTCTGGAAGATCCTGCCATAAGATGTACCCTTGACCAGCAGGGCTTGTACCCCAAAGCCTGGTAAACCACTGCTGCCAAGTGGCATAAGTCAGATCTCACTCTGGGGTGACTCCTCCATGCCGTCTCCTCATCAGCCAGGCCAGGACAAGAAACTCACCTGGGTATCCCCTTCTCAGAGGTGGTATTTGCTTGCCTCTAGGAATGCTTGCCTTTGTTTACTTTTTGACCCAAATCTCATTACAATTCCCAACCTGTTCTAGGCAGCAAAAACAAAGTCACCCTAGAAGTCTATAATAAATCCCTCCTTTARCCACTTATGATCTGATGACCCTAGACAGAACCAACACACTGCAGTCTCACTCAAGATGGAGCCACTGGAGTAGGCTGAGCTGGGGGTCTGTGATTTGACTTGGTGTTTTGACTACCCCCAGATGAAGTGGTATGTGCTCAGCAAGCCACCAGGAGGCACTCACAGGACCCAGAGCTCAGGTACTCCAGGGCAAAGGGGTGGGATAAAGGTGAGGTTGAATTAACAGAAGCATGAAAGTAGAACCCATCTTGCTCATGAGCACCCCAATTCTTGGGGGAATGAGGAAGGAGAAGGCCCYACAGACACAGCAGTTGCCACCTACGGATCCAAAGCTGCTAAAGCAGATCAGRAAAGCAGAGAAAGCTGAGAGGGAGTTCCGGAAGAAGTTCAAGGTAGGGACACAAGAGTCTGGGAGGGCTGGGACCAGATCCCCGGAGTCCCATCCTCAGAAAGAAGACGGAGTGTATGTGGGGTGACCGCATGAGCAAAAGCTCTAATATCTTGTCCCCAAGTTTGAAGGGGAGATTGTGGTTCACACAAGGATGATGATTGACCCCAATGCCAAGACCCGTCGTGGAGGTGGCAAACACCTGGGAATCCGGCGTGGAGAAATTCTGGAGGTGATCGAGTTCACCAGCAAGGAGGAGATGCTGTGTCGGGACCCCAAGGGCAAGTGTAAGTGAACCTAGCCCCAAAGCCCTGGGGAGGGAGGGCACCTCAGACTGAGAACCCACCATGTCTACTTTCTTCACAGATGGCTATGTGCCCAGAACAGCTCTTCTGCCACTGTGAGTGCTGACTCTGCTGGGGTCTGGGAGTGGGTGGGGTGCCAGGGTCTCCCAGCTGACATTTGTGCTCTCTACCAGGGAAACAGAGGTGTATGATGACGYCAGCTTCTGGGGTATGTAGATGCTGCAGGATGGGTTGGAAGGGACCAGACTGACAGCTGGTGGACCACTTGTTTAATGATGGAGAGGGGTCACTGGAAGTCACCCCTCCTTGCAGACCCTTTGGAGAGTCAACCATTTCCACAAGGACAGTAGGGCCCTCAGGTGGGGCTCAGAACAGCCTGCCAGCCCAGCCCAGCCCAGCTACCCACTAACCCAGGAGCCTGGATTCCAGTTTGACAGACAGAGCTGCCCAGGTGCATGTGTGACCACATAAAGCCTCTCTTTAAAAAAAGCTTCCCTGCTTCTTGTATTTTCTTTTCCATCCTGACTGCTGGCACACACAAGGAAACGTGTGTGTGTGTGTGTCTCCCCCCTTCTTCTCTCTGTGGGAGGTCTCATCACCAAATCCTGATCTCACTCCTCAGCTGCCTGCCACAGGAATGGGGAGGGAGCTGGGGAGCAAGGTGCACACTGCACGTAATGCCACTCCACACCCCAAAAGGGCAAGTAGCAGATGGACTCCCTCACGTGCTGCAAATACCTGTTTTACTAAGTGGGTCTATGAAAGCACTTCACTGACAGGGGCTCCCAACCTGAAAGACCTTGGAGGGAGCATCCGTTCTTGGAAACTGGCATATTCTCCTCCCTGTCGGTTTTATTAAAGTCAAACTGGAAATGAGCCTGACACCATCTCTGTCTCACAGGATAGGCATAAGAAGAGACAGGACAGCTTTCAGAATTGCTTATTATCAGCAGCAGTGAATAGAAGATCCCTCAAAATTCAGTTTCCACAGAAGAGTTTTTCTGTGGAAAACAACTGGCCAGGGCCTTTCCCACCCAAGGAACAGATGAGCAATAGCAAAGGTGAGATTCCTGGTGATCATGGGTCAAAGGAAAGAAGGAAGCATAAGTGGCTCCAGGCCACCAAATTTCAGATGGTTGTCCCCACAACACACACACAAAAGCAAGCCACTTTCAGGAACTGGTATTTATTATCAAAGTCATATTCGATGTCAACAAGATGCCACAACTACAAAAAAAATTGCGCACATTGCAATCTCAATGCAAACAGTCAAATGGAACCCCAGTCATTAAAAAAGTAATTCAAATTACCCCAAAAAGCAACTGAATTTTTTAAACATCTTTATACATCCAGCCAACAAATTAAAATGGTTAACAAGAAAAAATACAAATTCAGAGGTCTGGCATTGATGTTTAAAAAAGGCAACTGCTTAAGCATTTCTATCGATTCGAACATCAATCTCTCGGCCACTCAGCTTCATGCCATTCATCATCCGGCAGGCTCTCTCAGCCACCTCTGGCGACTCAAACTTAACCACACCGCACCCCTTGGACTTCCCGTTCTCCATCTTGATGTCGGCGTACAGCACGTGGCCTGGCACAGGGAGGGAAGAAGAGACCATACGCATCAGGCAAACCCAGAGCTCAGCCTCAATCTGGGCTCCACTCAGTCCAGATCACCTGTTGGATTTTGGTGACAGAGTCAAAAAGGAAAGAGGCCCTCATGTGTGGAGCACAAATGCTCAGAACACCACGGCCAGAGTCAGTGACAAATGTCCTTTGGCCATGTTGCCATTGTTCTGCTATCAGGACAATTTGATCCAGCACCATGAAAAGCGTTCCTGGGGGTTTAAAGTGCTTGCCTTTTAAGTTCAAAAATAGGAGGAGTCCTGTGAAGCCAACTTGAGAGGAGAATTTTAGAGGCTGTTTTCAATGTATCACTACCCTCAGTCACAAAGCCATCATCAATACAATAGATACTTCTAACTGTCCAAATGTAAGCTATATAATAATTAGCGAGCAGATTACACATATTCCTTCAAACACCTATTAAGCACCCCAGGTATGTGTTGAGCACCATGGAAATAGATACAGAGGGTTAAGAGCCCAGAGGCCAAGGTCCACTCCAATGAGGACCAAGGAGATAGCACATTATGGTCAGTGCTAGGGGCCCACAATTCTAAAGCCACCAAATCCACCYGGGGGAAGGAAAACATCCCAGGGAGCTTCTCACAGTAAAGTTCTAAAAGACTTTTAAGTGGCCAGGTGTGGCATTTGTTTGCACATCTGTAATCCTAGCAGCTCTGGAGGCTGAGGCAGGAGGATCATGAGTTCAAAGCCAGCTTTGGCTATTTAGCAAGGCCCTAAGCAACTCAGTGAGACCCTGTCTCTAAATAAAACAAAGTGCTGGGGGGGCTGGGGTTGTAGCTCAGTGGCAGAGTGCTTGCCTCACACAAGTGAGGTACTGGGTTTGATCCTCAGTACCACATAAAAATGAACAAACAAAATAAAGATATTGTGTCCATGTATAACTAAAAAAAATAAAAGGGCTGAGGATATGGCTCAGTGGTTGAGTGCGAGGGTACCATTTAAAAAAAAAAAAAAAAAAAAAAAGGCTTTTCAGTGAAAATTCACCAGAAGACAGATTCTGGCCTGTAACAGCTCACACCAGAGCACTTCAGGAGGCAGAGTATTTGTAAGTTCAGCAGTGAGATGAAGGCAGTTGCTGGGATCAAGGGGCTCATAAGAATTTTTACTTTCTAAGAGGTGAGGGGAGTGGCATGATCCAATCTGATTTCTTGAAGTATCTAGATACAATGCGGAAAAATGCAAAGCAAGGATGGGGGTGGGACAAGAAAGTAGGCTCTGACTCAACTGCTTTCCCCAAAGAACCAGAGAGAAGCAGCAATAACGGTGAGTCGTGACCCACTGCTGAAACCAGAGATGAGAAAAACAAAACAGGCCCTGATCCAGCAGCCATCGAACTTGTGGCTTAAGGCTGACCTAGTTTAAAGGACAGGGGTGGGTAGTGGATGGAGRCTGGGGCTCACCCCAAAGAGCAAACTATGAAGATAACTTCTTTCAGCCACAAAGGGGGCCTTCTGGAAGGGTCATCTTGTATGCTAGGAAATTTCCACTAGAGACTTACTGCCACACAAGATGCTAAGTGCCTAGATCTTGCAAGCCTGACCCATGGCACCTACTGACACACCAAACCAGCTTGCTGTGAGAGAAAGCAACCTTGTCTTGGGTGTATTTTATTTAATTTTATCTCTTACAAGTCATGCCACCTTAGAAGGTAGCTTTACCTGACTCATCTGTAAAAGGGGAAAATACTACCTTTCAAGTACTCTAAATGTTAGCCAAAAAAAAGAAAAAAAAAAGAAAAGCTCAGGGTTGGGAATATAGCTCAGTTGATAGAGTGCTTGCCTCATATGCCCAAGGCCCTGGGTTCAATCCCCAGCAAGAGACAGACAGAGAGGGAGGGGGAAAGAGAGACAGGCAAACACATACCAGGACACTCAATACATGCTTGGGTATCTGCAAAAGCAGAACAATGGCAAGACCCATCAGTCCTCTAGAGCTGATGAGCAGTGGCTGTGCAGACTAGAAGGAAGCTATGCTACTGACATAACAGCACCACTAATAGCCATGGTACAGGAAAGCACCTAGAGAGCCTTTCTGACACTTACCACATTCGTTGAATTTGTCCTTTAGCATCTTCCATGTAAAATCAAATGGGAGCTGAGGGGGGAAAAAAAGGTAGACTAATGTGTGATTCAACCAAATCCTAATGCACAAACATCACAATCATCTATGAGGGTTCCTGGGACAAAGGATGCAGCTCAGTGGTAAAGCACTTGCATCACTGGGGAGGAGGCTCCTATATATACATAGAGAAGCTGGCCAAACTCCACACTGATATTGATCAGCAGAGAACAAATAAGTCTATTTAGAATGAGGTTCTGAAGTGGCACAGCTACTCACTCCCTGTCACCTTATCTCTAGTGTCTGGGAACATCATGCAGGGAGCAGAACATACAGAGCCTGGTGTAAGCAGATTACAGAACTCAACAGTGGCTAAAGGTGGTCGAGTCGTTACAAATAATTCAATATATAGCCACCTCTCTCTGAATCACTATACCAAAACACTGGTGCTCCTCAAGCCTAGGGATCAGAAACTAAAATCTTTCAGCTCATAGTCTGCTTGGTCAACAGACACATCAGGAAGCCCAGGCAATTGCAGAACTACTGTTCCTTTGTAAGTCTTCACAATGAATTAGCACCAGACTCTGGGGACAAGAGTAAGGTGTGCTCTCCATGCTGTCCATTGTCTCTTCAGAGGAATACCCGTTACCCTCAGCCCACAAGTCGTCAGTCCACTGAGATCATCCCCTGTGTATAACAACACCAAAGAGTTCCTGAAGAGCCACTTACATTTCTCACAAATATCTGGCAGGCCTTTCTGGCCACCCCAGGAGCATGGCCTCCAGCTCCGCCAAAGGAACCTGCGAAGCTTCCTCCAAAGTTGCCACGTTCCATCTCAATGGCACGATCGAAGCTGGCACCACCGCCACCACCCATGGCAAGGCCCATGCGCTCAATGCCAGCGCCCAGGGCCGGGCCCATCGCTGGGCCCATGCGCTCCAGACTGTTGGCGCCCATTCTCTCCAGGCCCATGCGCTCTAGACTGTTGGCTCCCATGCGCTCCAGGCCCATACGCTCCAGGTTGTTGGCGCCCATTCGCTCCAGGCCAGTGGCCATGCGATCCATCACGGGGCCCATGCGCTCCAGGCCGGCCCCCATACCTGCGGGCACCATGCGCTCCATGCTCAGGCCCATGCGCTCGATGGCAGGGCCCATTCGCTCTACGCCAGAGCCCATGCGCTCAATTGTTTGGCCCACACGGTCGATGGGCGCGGCCATGCGCTCCAGGCCGAAACCCATGCCGGCACCCATGCGCTCGACACCAGAGCCAATGCGCTCCATGGTCTGGCCCATGCGCTCGATGCTGGAGGCCATGTGGTCGAGGCCCAGTGGGCCCATACGCTCGATGCCAGAGCCCATGCGCTCAACGGAGCCCATGCGGTCCATGACCAGGCCCATGCGCTCGATTTCGGAGCCCACTCGATCCATGCCATGGCCCAGGCCTGCGCCCATGCGCTCCATGCCAGCACCCCCAATGCGGTCAATGCCAGGGCCCATCCTTTCGATCCCAGGGACGCTGCCTCCACCTCCACCTTAAACAGGGACACAAAACACAGGAGATGTCAGGTATCTGTGTGTACACCATGCCACGCCTGGGCACTTCAGTTCACAAGCTCACCCACAGATTAGCAATTTAGCCCCTCAGTGATTTAACATTAAAAGACCCCTCAAATCGTAACAGTTACTAAAACTAAGTAATAGGTAATGTGGGGTCCTTATAATCATTCTTCCTGTCCTGTTGCAGTTGAAATTTCCATAATAAAATTTAAGAACAACAACACCCACACCACACAGTTGTTTCTGAGGTGCTAGTGTCTGTGACAAGCGAAACCCCACACTCATTCACGCAAACAGAAGTTATGTGGAGGTCATTCAAAGTCACAACTTCTATACTCTCTCAATCTGTCCCTCTAACCTGCCTGCTGGTGGCCAATCTGGCTGCATTCCCTTAGCACTTCCAAGGCACAGAAAAGCAATCTTATAGTCATGTAACCAAACAGGGATAAGGAAAACGAACAAAAACACCCACAAGAGATCCTCTGTGTACAAATGCACACAACTGGCCATTTCCTGGAGGACCTTAGTTTCTATCAGAGAAATCACCAACCAGTTTATCTATAATTCTGCTGGCCTTGGAAGGAAAATGATGACAGTACTGCATGGTAGGCTCTGAAATAGATCCAGAGTCAGTACACAGCAACCCTTGTCCATGGAGCTTGCAATTCTGGACAGGGAAGACTGGCTCTAGAACCAAGGCCACCATCAATCACTTCGCAGAGCTCCAGGTTCCTCCCAAGCTGCATACTGCCCACATGTGTCTGTTGACCACAGGGAGCCCAGTTACTGACTCAAGCAACCCAACTGAAGATGCAAATTCAGGAAGAAGAAATTCAGCAGTTTTTTTAACTGATTCTATAGCTGACCAAGAATGTGACCTGGCACAAGGCACTCCACCTCTCTGTGCCCGTTTCCTTAGCTGAATAGCAGCACACCAAATGGCAAAAAAAAATAAGCACAACTTTAAGAATATTAGACTTTCATAACAGAAACGGGTTAACAACTATCTAATATCCTAACATTTTATAAAAGAAAAAGGTGCTTGCCCAGTAGCAGCAGAAATGAGGTGGCACCCAATGCCAATAGAACTAGGAAGAGACAGCACCAGGTAGAGCCTTCCCCCCACACAAACAGAAATACCCAACAAGTGGGGATCCAAGGCAATGGCTAACCCCTCAAGAGCCTTGAGGAAAAATCGGGCAAAAAAAGTACATTTAGTTCTAAGTGCCCATAAAACTGTGTATTCTATGGAAGCGTATATACCAAAATGTTTATAGCACTCACCACTAGGTGGTGGGCCGGCAGATAATAATTACTTTCTTTGGCATTTTCCAGGTTTTTATAATGAGTGCATGCACACATTTTAGTAAGCATTTGTTGTATATTAGCTGATGTACTTTTACAGTCAGATAAAAGAAAACAAAATCCTCAAATATCAGTATTGTAATAACAATGGCTAACACACATTGCACTCATTTAAGTACTTTTTTATATGCATTGGCTCAATTACTCTTCCCAACAACCCTCTGAGGTAGGTACTACTGCATCCCCATATTACAAGGTAATACGAAAACAGAGAGGTTAAGTAACTTGCCACATGTCACATAGCTAGAAGAGGCAGAACTAGACACCCCACCCTGGGCAGTCTGTGTCAGAGCCCACTATGCTCTGCTGTCCCCCACGGTAGCAACCTGTTCTAAAAATCAAAACATCAAACTAAGCGTTTCCTACCTCCTCCCTGCTTTGCAATGATCTCTCCTCTCTTCAGTGCATTACTTAGGATTTCTAAGGAAATCAGGAAGAAAAAATAATTAGCCAAATTTCTCTATGGCAATAGAAACTTGCTCTTAACAGATCTCAGAGTAGAAATACTTCTAGTAAAAAAATCTTAAAAGAAAGAAAAAGGAAAAAGGTTAAGGGGTTTGAGAAATACATATAACAGACATGATCATTTTATAGGAAACTGAAGCACCCTTGATGATGGGTCACAATGCTAGCATCCCATGTAGCTCCAGAGTCTGAGGCCCAGTTCACAAGGTCACCTGCAAATGCGTCCAGCAGAGCGAGGAACTGTATGCATCTGGGAGCTGAACTCAGAAAGTCAAAGCAAGAACGGGGCCCTTGGTCCTTGCTCAATACAGTACAGTTTTCTAAAGCTGGTCTAGACTCTCAGCAATTAGGCTTCCCCATTTCACCCAAGCAGAAAAACTAAGGCCTCTCTGGAACTACTCAGAAGTTTGAAGCCTGCATTCATTATTATAGATCAAATAAAAACCAAAGTTATACTTACTACCTAAAAGGTGAAAACCAACAGTGCTTGAGCATACTACATAATTTCATGCTTAGCATAAAAATACTACAGCAACCTGACTGTGCCAGCCCCACCTGAAGTGAGCGTGAGCTGGATGAGATGGTGAATTAGCAACAGACAAAACTTAAAGAAAATACATACACATACATATGCACACTCATACACACACCCCCAATTGTCCCAAACAAAAAGCACTGCTGCTTRCTGACCAACAGCTCATCCAAACATCCTTCAGTTTAGCCTAATGTTGTCATTAGTGTCACCTTTTAAAGTTTCTCTTCAGTCTTTTGTATGTGGGAGAAAATGAAACCAACTTCTCTGGTCCTGAAGAAAATYAGCAACTTGGACAACAGCCTCAAAATACATCTCATTATCATCAAAAACCACAAAGGTGGCTGGAAGGTGTGGTGCATGTATGTAAACACAGCAACTTGGGAGACTGAGGCAGGAGGATCTCAAGTTCAAGGCCAACCTTACCAACTCAGTAAGGCCCTAAACAACTTAGACCCTGTCTCAAAATAAAAAATGAAAAGGGCTGGGAATGTGGCTCAGTGGTTAAGTGACCCTGGGTTCGATYCCCAGTAGCCCCCCATCCAATCCCACACCAAAAAAACTCATAAGCAGTTAAAACCTACCCCATGGCTGTTCTTGTACTCCAACTAACCACTAGAGGAAGGAGGTAGGAAAGCACACCAAGAAATAACGGACTTCCTGCCTGCCAGCAAACACGGGGCTTATTCTTCCATGACACCAGAGATYCTGGTCAGCTTGCCATGCCAAGATTCACTATGCTTTCCGATCACAGCCCCTAGAACAAACAATTCCCTGCAAGAACACTGAGTTGATGCACCATGTATTTGAAAAGCCGAATTCTTTCCATGGGTATTCACAGACCTTCCCTGTACTGACTCCTACCCAGTTTGACACTGTTCTCTCTCCAGTCTTCCTTGACCACTAGACCCTCACTTCCAAGCCTCTGTACTGACACTGTCTAACCTGTCTGCCAATATACGGACTATGCCAAACACAACCAGACCCTCAGCCCTCCAGCTGCAACTGCACCTCCTGCACTATCTTCCTATACTATTGCTCTGAACACAGGATGTCCAGTAGCTATCCAGAGAGGTGCCTTTTTAAGTTCTAACATATTTCACATGCTATTCATATGACTGCCTGAGGACCTCACACAGTTCTCCTCACTAGCCCACTGCCAAGTATTAACCTCTGGTGTTATCTTGGGCCACTACTGAGTATCATCTCTTTGACTGCAACATATCCTTTCAAGGTCAAGGACCACAGATCTATCTATAGCATTGAAGCACCAAGTACACTCGTTTGTTCAAAGTGCAAAGATCTACTAATATGATATGAGAAAGCACACTGAGCAGAAGAGTGCTACAAAAAAGGACACAAAGAATTAAACAAACAAACAAAAACCCAGGTAAATACTCTGAAAACCCAATTTAAATATTTTATTTGGGACAAAGACTATTTTACTCCCTTGGGTCTGATCACAAGTAATACCAGGGAATTCCAGGACAGAGACTACACAGTCCCAATCTTTAAAAAGGTGCCAAAACAGCAGGACAGGAAACCCTGCGGATGATATTTCTGTTCAGGTTCAGGCAGTAAGAGCTCCCTGTTGCCCTGTAGGAAGAGGAATACCCCTGTAGGAAGAGGAATGAGGCCAAGCTGTTCATCACAGAGGTATATCAGAGTCACAGACTGGCCATGATTAAAGGCTAGGAACAAGAAAAAGTGACTATAGGTGTAAAGTCACATATCGTCTTGTTGGTCTTTGCCAGCGGCATCCCCAAACTGATATTTGAAGCCAAATTATGCTAAGTCTTAAAATATTTTTTAAAATAACCTACTATTTCAGGACATGAAAATGAGGCCAGTAATGGCAAGAGAATACCTACCCTAGTCACATACAAATATGAACTCACCCTTCAAAATTCTAAAGGTTTATTAAATCTAAGATAAAGATATAGGTAGGCAGACCAAGCAAGCCCAGAAGTAAATTTTCACTATCAGCCTAGTAAAATCAAAGAAAACCATTCAAGTTACCTAACCATGGTAAGGGAAAAAAGAGAAACAAGGATATACCAAACAATAGACTACTCTGTAGGAAACAGTTTCAGTAGTTAAACTTAAAAAAAAACATGGAGGACAGAAGGCCTAATAACAACCTGAAGAGTTGAGATGCTAGACTTACATCAGCAAGCGCGCAAGACTAAATTCTGTTAAATGGGACACCTGCCACAAACCATGGAGGAGAAAGACTACTGTCCACTTAGCAGAGCCTCCAAAACTCTACCAGAGTGAAAGTGTTAACAGAGTTATGCAGCAAGAGATGCAAGAGGCAGTTCTAATTCCCAAAACATGCAAAAACCTTATGCCAATTTTTTTAAGCCATTTGAAAGACTACTAGAAAAATGGTACTACTCCTAACCAGAAATCCCATATTGTCAATCACCACGGAGCCCTCACTCTCCTTTAATCCTCTTGATAAGCATATGACTATTTTAAAAGCCTAAGGAAAGCCAGCAGACTTTGCCTTAGAAAGAAGCCCCAACACCAGGCTGAGCCTTAGCAGCCTGTCAGTCCAGGTAGTGGACTTCACCCACATGGGGATCCACGGGGCCATCCTAACCATCCCTCTGCCAAGGATCTAACCATTTGCTCTCCAAAGCTTGGAGACATTCCCATCTTGTTTCTGGCAAAGTTTCTTTCAAATCCTCCATCTAAACCACCCGCCAACTGTGTGTGTGTGKGKGKGGGGGGGGAATATATACATATACATACACATTCACATATATTTTACCCTAGGCCTTTCCAGAAATAAACATTATGTTTCAGACATTAAAAACTAAACAAGAATTATAAACATAACAGCCACTACCAAGTTGACCTATGTAACTATTCTACAGGAAACCATCATTCACCCTTGATTCTTTAAAAAATCAAAGTCACAAATTCTAGAAAAGGATGTATCTACAATGTCTATTACAACCACACAACAGGTACACCACATACTACCACAATACTTAGTAGGTTACCTGCAGTGTTCACCTACAGTGCATACGGAGTTAAAGAGGACTCTGCTGGTAACAGTAACAACACCTACTGGGCACTTAACTGCCTGGAACTACTGTTGTATTGAATAATCCTCACAACCACCTTGGCTCCTGAATTACCTGCCTAGTGAGGGTGGATGGAAGGTTGCTATAACAYAAAAAGGACACTTTGGAGCTGGGGTTGTGGCTCAGCGGTAGAGCGCTTCCTAGTATATGCAAGGCCCTGGGTTCGATCCTCAACACCACATAAAAATAAATATATTGTGTCCAACTTAAAAAAAAAAAAAAAGTACACCCAAGCAGAAGAAAGAAAWATGCATGCATATAACATTTCTCCACTGACTAGTGCACTGGTCCCATCTACAAAATTGGATTTGGACAACTTCTCTTCTTTTTGATCAGAGGGTGTTTGGGGGATTGAAATCAGGGTGCTTTTTCACTAAAGTACATTCCCAGTACTTTTTATTTTTAGACAGGGTCTCCCTAGGTTGCTGAGGCTGGCTTTGAACTTGCAACCCTCCTACCTGAGCCACCAAAGTTGCTGGGATTATAGATGTATGCCACCACACTGTGCTTCTGATGTTTTAATGCCCTTTAAAAACAAAGCTCTGATCTTTCCTGGGAAAATGGCCCACCACAACTGACAGATGCTTGAGTAAGCCTTTTGTGACTCCTAGTATTAGCTATTTCTTTAAAGTACAGTCATCTCATCCAAGATTCATAATGCATCACACCATGTCTCCCTCCCATACTGAAAGGTCCTTCAATAATCTAGTATTATCAATCTCACTCTTTATAAGTATTAGGTACACAGGACACATTTTATTATACAACTACAAAAAAATGTTTATAAGTAGCCCGTATCCCTACCCTTTCAAGGAGCAGCACTTTATAGAGATATGGAAKCAGGCTCAAACCAGCATTATAAAGTAAGAAGACCTCTGGCATTGGTCAACTTTAGCATAKTTTTTGTTTGTTTCATTTTTTATTGGTCCTAGGGATTGAACTCAGTGGCACCAGCCCTATTTTGTATTTTATTTAGAGACACAGTCACACTGAGATGCTCAGTGCCTTACTGTTGCTGAGGTTGGCTTTGAACTCGTAATCCTCCTATCTCAGCTTCCTGAGCCGCTGAGATTACAGGTGTGTGCCACTGTGCCCAGCCTGACTTAAGCATAGTTTGAAATAAACTCAAAGTAAAACCCTAGATTAGTGGTGTGCTATCTGCTCAAAATGTTATCTCACTCGTGCAAGTCTGAGGGTGGTGGGCAGAAGTGGCTCAAAAGAACAACCAAAATGAAATCATAAATGGCATCATAATTGGGGAACTGATGCTCTCCTTTAACCCCTTTGATAAGCCTGTGAAGGCTGCAATCCCCCTCCTCAGATAAGGAAAAGTCATATGCAGGTCTTAATGCATTGGCAAAGACCTTGGAAACCATTTTCCCAAATGCTGACAGGGAATCCTGTGAGAACTTCAATTTGGGAGCAAATTGGGCAGGGGAATTTGAGAGAATTTCACTGTCAAATATTGCAATAAAAATCTACATTTGATAACTGACAGTCATTTACTTTTCAGAGCCATTCTATCAAAATTAGACCTATATTAATTCACTGGCCCTGAAAAAGTCCCATAATTCAGTCTAATGTCAGCACCCGGAACCATAATAAACGCATTATCACCATCATCAACTAAACAATTTAAATTCAAAACAGCTTTAAATTTTTCAGAGTGTGATTTTAAATTTTCCTTTGACATAGTACCCAAGGGTTCTATTTCACCCAAATCTTAGAACCCAAATCCAGTATAAGGAAGTCCCTATTCTCTACTGCAGAGGACAAAGAGGGAGGACACCAAATATCTACATCTAAGGGCAAAGTCTAAGAACACAGGCTCCATTTTTAGTTCTCACAGAATCCTTTGAATCTTTTATGACCAGGCTCAGAATTCTTAACTGATGGATTACACCTGCTAGCTTAGCTTACATAAGACTTAAGTCACAAACTCAGCAGAGGTTCCAGGGCTGTCCTACTCCTGTTCTCATCAACTTCAAAGCTGTACAACTCCACTTCCCAGAACAACAAACAAACTTATTTCTAATGACTAATAGGTTCTGAGTCAACATTTTATCAAATCGGACTTTCCAAATTTTTACTTTTTATTAAAATCCTCCACACACAAACAACAGGCAAACCTTAAAGCACACTGGAAACACAGACCTCTGTCCTTGGTGATGATCTTTCCACCATCTTCTAAAACAAGGCACCCAAGAAGGCGGCAAACCCTTCCCATAGTTTCCTATGCTCTGGAAGAAGGGTAGTCTGGTTTGTTCATCAGGAATATCTCCTCCCTTCAAGTTTGACTGTCTACTCTAGTAAGACACTTGCTCTTTACTATTTTCACAGACCAGCAAACATTTAAACCTAAACCTAAATTCTCAGTTACTTTCCCTTCCAATAAATGTTATGTATAAAAGCAGCTTTCCAGCAAATGAGGATCACAGAGTAAACCAGCATAGAGACAGCTTCAATTCTGGTTTCTCAGCCCTAGAGATAACGCTGTGCTGGAGGCAGTTCCAAAAGGCAGGACTGAGGCATGATGAAGAGCCAGGCTCTGGAGCCAGCCTGGGTTCATTCACATCCTGGCATTTACTAGCCACATAACCTTAGGCAAGCCACTCTCTGTGCCCCAGTTTTTGATGAATGGGGAAAACAGTAGCCACGTGTCATGTGGTTCTTGCAAGAACTATTAGAACACATTATTATAATCATCATCACCATTATAAAGCCATTAAGAGGAGGGCTCTAAAATCTGAATGACAACAAATGAGAATCTGTGTTATGTAAATGATAAATTAAAGGAATCTATGGTTTTTATAATGTGAATCTCTGTCCACAACATGGAATCATCAGGGCAAATTGTCAAGAACTACCCATCCCAGTACTCCTGAGAAGAACTTGATCAAAAACTTCAAAGACTCCTTTGTCTTGGAGACCATTTTTAAGGTGTGCAAAACACAACCACAGATGTCTACATGCTTAAGTGCTCAAGGCAAAATGAAAGTTTTTAAATTTTTACTAAATAATTTTTACTAATTTTTTACTAAATTTTTACTGAATAATTACTAAGAAGACTTAGAAACACGGGACAATTTAAGCGTGACTAAACAAAGTAATCCTATTATTAAGTCCAACTAAGTCTACCTATTGAAATATTTAAGGCAATCTCAAGACAACGGGATTCAGCAGAAAAACAGAAGTGGGATGTCACTGAAAGTGGGCCTGCAGCCTAAAGGTCACCTGAGAGCTTCAGTCAGCAAAGGGCAGGTGTTAAGGAGGAAGAAATATATAAATCTTACCATTTATTCGGCCCATGTTCATCCCAGATCCAAATCGCCCCATGTTTTCCATACCACCACCAAAGGGTCCCTCCATGCCTGCAAGAGAGATCTGCATTTCAGTGCCATCCCAAGGAGACTGAAGAGACTGATCAGGGAAAGGAAAGGTTTTTCACGTTTCACCTTAGGCATCTACCAAGAACTTACCAAGTTAAAGGGCTTTTGAAAAACAAAAAATACTGGTTCCCTTGTTTAAAAATCACCATCCTCAGAAAAAAAACCTGATCCAACCCCCTCAATGAATACACAAGCAAAAAGAGGTCCAGAGAGATGAAGTGAGTTGCCCAAGGTCACAGAGCTAACTAGTGAGAAAGCCAGAACCAAAAGCCAACAACAACCACTGAAAATAATGGGCAGCTAAGAAAAGTAATTTGTAGACTCAAAACTTTTGGAAACAAAGTGAGAATTTCATGCAGGGTTTAAAAGACAAGAAAGAAAAGGGGGGGGGGACCATACCTAAAAGTAATTATATTTGTACTTCGTTTTAAATTTCTTACCTCCCATTTTATTTATTCCAAATCCTATGCCTTCCATTCCCATTCCTTAAAAAGAAAAAGTCAATGCAAACTAAAATTATGTCAAAGCAGTAGTGTTTAAACTTACAAAACACAAAATTCCAAACCAATAAACAAAAATATTTCTGATGATGAATATTTTTTGTCAAAAGGCGGGGGGTGGGGAGACACCCTACCATTTCAGTTGCCAAAAATCATATCCCAAGCAAATTTTTCTAAGCCTTTTATCCAAAGAATCATTATGGCAGTTAAAATTCTACACAGTTTTATTGACCAAATTGGATAGTATTAAATATGGAATATAATTACCAGACAGATTATGAAACATTCACTTTTTAGAATTTTATTTAATGGAACAGAAGTGAACTTTTCCTAAAATCCCTGTTAAAGGTAAAATCCTTAAAATAGTTTCTAAACATTGAGGCTTCCTCCTGCATTCACTGTTTTTTAGTGCCGGACAAGGAAGTATATATATACATGTGTAGATTAGGTGGCAGAGTCACTTCAGGTTGTGACTGCTCAACATACATTTCAGGTTTATTTCAGAGCTGACTCTGGAACAAAGACCAGGGATATGCAAAAAAATGATGGTGATGAGGCACCTGTATCACAATTTAAATTTAAAAAAGAAAAAAAGAAAAACTGAAGTCTGGGATTACAAAAATGAAATATTCCTTAAAAGCATAAAGAAATGCCTTGTACCAAAATAAAAATGCTATTCAGCAAAGTTTATTCTACAAGTCCAAGCTTTTACAATTCATTAGCTGTTCCCTGTCTTCTTGAACAGGGCTGGAGTTGTGGCTCAGTGSTAGAGCGCTTGCCTAGCATGTGTGAAGTACTGGGTTCGATCCCCAGCACCACATAAACAAATAACAAATAAAGGTATTGTGTTTGGGGAAAAAAAAAAAAAGATAAACATTCATCCTTCCTTGTGACCTGTGACAGCTATGTTATACAGGGAAGCCCTCCACACCTTCTTGCATCTCTCAGTGTTCCTACTTCTAGAAGAAGCCATTCCAACATCAGGCGAGAGCCCAGGATGGTCTGGTATCAAACTTAACAGGGTTTCAAAGCAGTGCTATGGTCCCATTGTCAGGAGAAATGCAGTCTGTCATTGACAGTGTGACCTTGGGCAAGACCAATTAACTCTCTGACTTGCCTCCTTTTATCAAATGGCATAACTATCTCAGCTCAGAAAGTCATTATGAGGATAAAAGGAGTCAACTCATTAAAAAAAAAAACACTGCTTATCAATATTACTTATCAAAACAAAGCTTAGAGGGGCTGGAGTTGTGGCTCAGTGGCTGAGTGCCTGCCTTGCACATGTGAGGCACTGGGTTTGATCCTCAGCACCACATAAAAATTAATAAAATATTGTGTCCATGTATAACTACAAAATATTTTTTAAAAAGCTTAGATATAACAACGAGGGAATCTTGTCCTGATTAAATCTTTATTCCATTCGAAATACTTATCCAAATAATTAACTTCAATAATTTTAACTTTCCCCCCAAAATCCCCAATCAAGGTACACTGTAATTCTCACCTGCAGGCCCTATGTTTCCCATTCCAATGCCTTTGTTCAGGTGATTGGCATCAATAGGCTGCCCTCCTGGTCCTAACCCCATGCCAATACCACCAAGTCCATCTGGAAGGAAAAAAGAAAGTCAGAAGCATACATTACCCTTCTTAGCAGAACTTGACCCTCAAAGACAAGAGTCTGTGTGTTATAGCTGCCCCGTTCCCTCCCCTGACCCCAAGCAAATTCAATACTTGATTCAGACTTCAATACTGGTACACTCCCTTTTATTTTGCAGTACTGGTAACTGAACCTAGGGATGCTCCACCACTGGGCTACCCCCCTTCTTGCTAAGTTCCAGGCTGGCCTAGAACTTGTGACCCTACTGCCTCAGCTCCATGAATTGCTGGTGTTTCAAGTGTACACCAATATGACTARCAAGTACTGCCCTTTATTAATACATAGCTATTTATATGTGATCAGACTGGAGTATATGGTGTGTACTACATGACAAAAGCAGCTAAAAAAAATCAATTTTACTTCAAAGCTGCCAGGAGCAATTAACAATATACAGTAAGAATCTTGAGCACCTATTTGTTTGCCTACACCATGAGTTGAGAAGAGTTTCATCAAAAAAAGTGACTCAAACTAGGTGCAGTGGGGTATGCCTGTAATCTCAGTTACTTGGGGACTGAGGAAGGAGGACCACAAGTCTGAGACCAATCTAAACAACTTAGCAAGGCACTGTCTCAAAATAAAATAAAAAGGCTAGGAATGTAGCTCAGTGATAGAGCATGCATGTGCCCCACGTTCAATCCCCAATACCAAAAATTAAATTTAAAAAGTAACTCAAGAAACCAGGTGGCAAGCAGCACAAATATTGGTGCCAACACTTGCCTCCTGACCTGGCAGCCCAAAGAACTCTCATGAGAAAACCAATTTACACACTGTGCCACACTATGACCCTGGATAGTTTAATAACAATGAGGCTAATATATTCAAGAAACCTATCTCCCTGCCCACTAAGCTTCCGAACTCGATATGCAATCTAATCTACCCTCAGCTCCATGCCCCACAAGCACAAACAAGGACACAAAGAATACAGAGTGATCTATGGAAACAGTCAAAAGAACTGATACCTATATAATGCACTGCATAACCACAGTGTGAGGCTTAAACTGAGATTAAGGGGAAAAAAAAAACACCTTCCACAAGTTCCCAGGCATTTAATCTGATTAACATCCTTGTTTTTAATTGCATAGCAACAACAGCAAGAAATCACCAAGTTTACTTATTCCCAAAGCAATTAGGCTTTGAAGCTGACCATCTGAACTGTGCTTAGAGACCAAGAGCCAGAAATAATGGGCTCCCTATGGCCCAATGTGCCTGTTCATCTTCCTCCTCCTCCAGGCACAAAAGTCAACAGAAGCACGGCAAGTAATCATTTACTTGGACGTGGRTGTGTTGAGACACGGAAATGTGGTCCCTCTCTAAATAATGGTGCCTTTCAACAGATTAAGCCAATATCCTATTTACTTTTGGTACTAGGGACGGAACTCAGGGCCTCACATGCTCGGCACACTACCACCGAGTATACCCCCAACCCTAATCTCCTAATCTTTATTGGTAATATTTTTTTTTAATATTTATTTTTTTTTAGTTCTCGGCAGACACAACATCTTTGTTGGTATGTGGTGCTGAGGATCGAACCCAGGCCGCACGCATGCCAGGCGAGCGCGCTACCGCTTGAGCCACATCCCCGGCCCTATTGGTAATATTTTATTCGTGTGTGTTTGGTAGCCCAGGGCCTCCTAGGCAAGTATCAGAGAGCTACATCCCCAGTCCTAATCTCCTATTCTTTAAGCCACCAACTTTGCTCAAGATCTACCTCTAGCTGGCTGTAGTGGTGCAGCAACTCAAGAGGCTGAGGCAGGAGGATCTCCAAGTTCAAGTCCTGCCTTAGCAATTTAGGGAGACCCTGTCTCAAAATAAAAAGAGTTGAGGATGTACCTCAGTGGTAGCCAGTCTCTGGGTTCAATTCCCAGTAGCCCCCAACCCCACACACAAAAGTGTATTATGTTCCACTATTGAGAGCTGGCGCTCTATTTAAGCTCCTATTCAATCTCCATCAGAAAGGACTGTGGCTAGAGCTACTGCTGCAGACCAGCAGCGCTCACTGACACTCCTTCTAGACAGACAGCCCTCTGCCCACCTGTGGGATTAATGTCCTCCCTAGCATAGCACACAGGTCTCATACCTACCACCAACCTTCTTGCCATAGGATATCCCTGCCTGTACCACCAACTCCCCAAGWTCTCATGCTGCCACAAGCCCTCACTCCCACTATAGTCAGTGTTCAGACTCCCACTTGTTAGAACACCATGCTGATAAGCACCACTCAACCACACCCAATCAACTTGCCTTCCTTGTCACAAGACAGATTTTCACCTAGATGTTGCAAACAGCCAATTACTTTTTTATTCTTCATAAAAATTACATGGTTGGTTATCTTTACACCTATAGAATTCAAGGATTTGGGGCATATTCAGAGCTATGCAACCATGGCTGTTATTTAATTTCAAAATATTTTCATCATTCCAAAAGAAACTCCATCCCCAGTAAGAATCACTCCTCACTTAATCCTCCCCAGCCCCAGCCCCACTAATATACTTCCTGCCTTCATGGAATTTGCTATTCTATGCATTTCCTATAGATGCAATCAAAATTCATCCATGCTCTTATTAGTATTCCCTTCCTTTTTATGGCAAATGTTTCAACATATAAATTTACTATATTTCATTTATATATTTATCATCTAACAGGTCACATCCTGTTAGATGTCAACTGCTGGGCCATATGGTATTTTGGGTCAAAATACAACCAATGTATTTTGACCCTCAGTACAACCTGACTTTAATTCCCTTTGCAGATTCTGCGCGGGATACTTTCAAAATGCCCAMTACGTTTGTCTTTTACATCTTGGCAGCCTGCCTTACCACAAAAATCATCCTAACAGCCCCTTCTTAGGTTGTGAATTCTCTGCTCATATCTCACTCTGAAAACTATAGAAAAGAACTGGTCAACCTCCAGACTAACCTGACAAGTTCAAGTGTAACTATAGCATAGTTTTCTGATTAGTATAACTGAAATACTTACGGGGAAGTTGCTGTGGACGTTCAGGAGGGAAAAAGTCTCCCTTTGGTAAGGCCCTTTCATCCTGAAAGAGAGAAAAATTAATATATCTCAGTATACACTGAAGTACTGTTTACAACAGCAAAAGAGGAAACAATTTGTGTTGTCACAGAACTGGTTAAATAAATTATGGTATGTTTATTTATGCCATGAAATACTATGCAAGGGTGGAAAGACACATGGGAGCATGCCTGTCACCTTGTGTGATAAAAACACACAAATGTATTATTAGAGGTAGGGATGGGGTGACCAGGCCCCTGGGCAAGAAATACAAGTGAAACTCTTATACAATCTTTTCATGCCTTTTGACCTTTGAGTCTGTGAATCCATTATCTATTCAAAAAACTAAAGTAAACGTTTAAAGAAACTAAAACTTTGTTTTACAGTTCCTTATCTTCTTCCTATTGAGTCCTAAACTAGATTGCCCTCAGCACATTCTGGTCATGATTGAATAAAATATTATCTTTGGCACTGCCACAGCAGGTCCAATGTTTATTAGGACTTAAATACTCCAACAGATCTTTAAAAGCTGTCTGAATCAGGGCTGAGGATGTGGCTCAAGTGGTAGCGCACTCGCCTGGCATGCATGTGGCCCGGGTTTGATCCTCAGCACCACATACAAACAAAGATGTTGTGTTCGCCAAAAACTAAAAAGTAAATATTAAAATTCTCAAAAAAAAAAAAAAAAAAAGTGTCTGAATCAAAGTCAATTATGTTCAYAAATACAATGTTAATCAAACATTATACTTTGAAAACTAGGAATCCACATATATAATCATTCTTTGAAAATGCTCACTTGCTCATTCAGCATACTCAACTGACTTCCTGAACATGCCAATAACAGCCAACTATGGAAAGAAGAAAAACCCAGAAACAAGAGCTGCATGAGCAAAGGGTTTTTGTCTGTAATAAATGTGTTTAACATACTATATACCCTGTTAAATTTAAATTAATCTGTTGTTTAGTACAGGGATTGTATGCACACTCAATGCCACATTTTCACTAGACTTAAATAAGTATATTGTTAGAGAAAGATTTTATTAACTTACCATTTTGACGTGCATTGGTCTATCAAAGAGCAGTTGGCCGTTAAACATAGCTGATGTTAAAATTAAGGCTATTTCTTACAATTGTAAAACTGCACAACAAGAGAAATACAAAAGAAAAAAATACTACACTGCTACTGATATAAGTGGTGAATTTACAAGCAATTTCAATTCTTAATTATGTTTCAGCATTTGCTTCTACAGTAAGCATAAGAGAAATAAAGAAAGCTTGAGGGAAGAAGAATTTAAAGCTTTGGCTCACTCCTTAGGTATGAAGCTTCATTCAAAATCTTACACTTTTTACCAAAGTAGCTTGGTAATCACAGTTTTCTATATGGATCCAATGGGCCAGATGAACTACCTTTCTCAAGTACCATGGTTTTTGGGTGAGATACTCAGTGACAGTCTTGCCTGAGTTTAATGACTGCAATCATCTGTGGCACTTACTGTCATGATTTTTAAAAATGTAACTCTAGGGTGAGCCCAGAGTCCGGAAGAAGTTTCTCTTTCAAAATGATGTCTATCCACTGGAGAGACAAGGTCCTATAAGCACATTATGTATAAATAGAAACCCCATTCTCTCTCTAGAGGTGTATTTTCTGGGCATCTCCATTCAAACCCAGATTCTTCTAAGAAGCAAACATTAGAAAAAAAAAAAAATTCACAGACACAGTTTACATTCTAACCTCCTCTTCTATCCACACACTATGGAACCAATTCAGCCTGAAAACTTTCAAAATTTCACAGTAATACATTCCCTCTAGTTATACAGAAAAATATGAACACAGTTATCTCTTCTTTACACAAAACTATAATTTACTGCCTAACGGTGCTGTGGCCACCCTGTTCACCATAAGCTGAATTCCTGCAGAAGGATACATATAGCTTGCACAGCTTCGATGGACTGTTCAAATGTCACAGTGCCTATTCCACGACTTTTCCCATCTTTATCCTCCAGAATGTCTGCTCGAACCACCACACCAGCCATACTAAAAACTTCCTTCAGTTTCTTCCAGCCAACTTTATAATCCAGCTAATCAAGAGAAGGGGATAGTTAAAACCTCAATATAAACATCTTAAAAAGGAACATTTTTTATTACATGAATGAGAAATGTTTTAGTTGGAAACAAGCATCAGACAATATCACAAAAACTAATCGATTGCATTGGCCATTTTTCAAACAGGATTACAAAGCTTGGCCTTAACTATGTTATTTACTATCTCTTTTCTTGGGAGGAATAGCCTAAGTTCCCTCATACTTTCCAAAGTAACACTTATTTTCTGAATATTAACCCTCCCCGCAGAAAGGCTGACCACTGCCCACCGCCCACAATCCACTTTTTTCTAATACTTTTCCTTGCAGATGACAAAGGTATCACTGTTCACCCCAGACATGACACAAAGAGGCAGGTGTTAGTATACTGTCTCGGCTCACTCCTTCCCTGCACTGAAACTGCACAAAGGAAACCCAACAAGAATGCAGACCCAGCTGCCACTTTTGTAAACACCTGCAAACTTAAGCAAGCTCAGCCCCAATGGGACCATGGTCCAGCTGGTGACTTAACACAATGGTCACTAAGGTACAAAGTCCTTAAATAAAATAAGAAGTTTTTAAATAAAGTAAAAGATTGAGTTCATAAAATTCTGTACACTTTTTACTCTAGATAAYGTATGCATATACTTACATTTGCTACAAATACTGTGCTTCCAAGTCTTCCAGCCTGTAATGCATGGATAATCTCATTTGGGATGTTAGGATTATTTAGGATACTGGGTGGGATATTAATCATTCCTGGGCCACCTGGTCCCATACCCATCCCACCAGTCGTAGCCATCACCTTTTGCATTGCTCTCCTGGCATGTTCACCATCAGGATCCTGAAACAAGCACAGAAGTGTTACACTGAACCAACCCAGTGACGATTAGAACCACTGACGATTACACCATAACTGAGACTGCCAAAAGAGATTAAAAAGCTGCTGGAATTCATTTCTCAAACCTACTAACAAGAAATTAAAATGAACTAAATAAAGTGTTCCAGCTAAGGAAACAAGAGAGAAAGAAAGGCACAAAATTCAGTACTGAAAATACTGCTTTCAAATTAACTAAACAAAAACCAAAAGACAGAAATGACATGATTAGCTGACCTGATGCAGAACTTCCAGACTGCAGGAAGATCTTCATGGGCTTAGTATGATTGACTCTTACTAATTAATTCCTTGGGGTTTGTGCAATTTCTGCAAAATCTATCAATGATTTTTTTTTCCCAAAAAAAGTTTGAAAAGTACAGTTCTATATCCCCAGATGCCCCACCTCTCAAGTGCTTTAGGTGATGAACTTCAGTATGTAAAGTTTAAACCATATTAATAGCACCCAGAACAGATTTATGAAGCATTGATATGGACACAGTTTTTTAACTCTTTGTGTTATGTTCCACCATCAACATACAAAAGACCTTAAAAAAACCCAACCATGCTTTCCTCCCTGAGTTCTTAATATATTGCTCCTCCTTCCCAAGAGGCAAAAAGAAGTCATGGGGTGATTTAATCACCAACGAACTATACCTCTTCCTAGAGGAAAAAAGAAAGACATTTAGTAAAGTAAGACACGAAAGAGGATTTGAATAATGACAAGCTCACTTTAAAAAAGAAAAAAGGGAAAAGAAAAAGAAGAAAGGGAGCCAGGTGTGGTGGTGCACACCTGTAATCCCAGCTACATGGGAGCCTGAGGTAGGAGGCTTTCAAGTTGAAGGCCAGCCTGAGAAACTGAGTCCTGTCTCAAAAAAAAAAAAAAAAAAAAAGAAAAACTAGGATGTAGCTCAGTGGTAAAGCAACCCTGGGTTCAATCCCCAACAAAGAAATAAAGAAAAACGAAAATAAAAAGGAAAAAAAGAAAAACAGGAAAAGAAAGGGCAATTTAGGGGTATTGCTTAGTGGTAGTGCACCTGCCTAGTATGCACAAGGCCCTGGGTTCCACCTCTGGTGCCATACATGGAAGAGAAGAAAAAAAAGGAGAAGCAGGAGAAGAATGCTGTATAACAGCATTCAGACTGATAGATGTAATAGTCTCTTACATGAGCCCAATTAAAAAAACAAGACTAAGCTGGAGTGTTCCCAAGACAACCCCACCAAAGGAAAGCAGTCAGCTTAGGCCACTTGGGATCTGCTTGGCTGCTATTCCAAAGTTCTTATAAGAGTGATGGCTGAAGCTGTGATTAACTCTCTTTATTAAAACAACAAGTTGGTCTGCACTATAACATGCAGTCAAGGACTACTCTTGTTTTCTCACTCTAAACAGGACACTCAAAAATTACACGTGGTATCCACAGCTTATCAAGAGCTTACTTTAGGCTGGAGGTGTATGTAGCTCAAGTGGTAGAGCACTTGCCTAGCAAGCCACGGGGCCCTGGGTTCCATGCCCAGCACAAAGAAAGAAAGGAAAAGGGAAGAGCTTACTTCTTTGACTTTCAGTGGTCTCCCACTCAGACTATGCTTGTTTAGAACTTCAGCAGCTTTTTTCATACTCTCTTCCATCTTGAATTCAACAACGCTACAAAGAGTCAAAAGGAAATAAGTGAAACCAGTCCTACAACTTGGAAGGATCTAATGCCAATAAGTAACTAGACAATACTTACGCACATCCCTTTGGATGAAGCCACAGATCAGTCAGAAGAGCAAGGAAAGGCGAAGAAAAAAAAAAAAGAAATAGTAAATATCAATGACAGTTATAGACAAATTTTAAAATATGATTTATGTAACAAAGTTAGTTTTTTTTAAATTAACCTGTCTAAGGGGAAGCTGACAGAAATGCCTTGCCTATTAGCCTTCCTTATTAAAAGCTCCTTAATATTTCCTTTTCCTACACATTACCAGCATTGCACTATAGTTGCTGAAGTTATAATGAGCAGACCTAAATTCAGGTTCTCCAAGAAATCACACAAACTTTAGATCTGCTTCCCTCTATACTCAATCAATTCCTTATCATACTCCTACTAAATCCGTCCCTTCCATAAATTAAGCCCGTCCTTTTGATTATTCTAAGCCATTCTATTGCACAACAGAAAATAGTTTACGTTCTCATTAAACTAGGCCAATTTGGAACGTTCAGGTTTATAGTATTTGGTTTACAATTTACTGGCACAAAGGCAACTTTTCGGAATCTTTGGTTCACACAACTTTCAAATTCAGCAAACAACCAAGAATAACATTTTCTAGACAAGAACACACGTTTTACATTAATTATACCACCTCTAAAATTCCATGCATAATTCACACACAGCCAATTCCTCTGTTAACAAAGAGACAATGCTGCTATTGGTCCCCAGTTATCCAAATTGGGCATCCAAACAGAATACCAAAAAGCTCTTTGGCCAGCCATTTGGAAAAGCGGGACAGGACTCCCATTTGCAAACCCCCTCCCACCCAACTGGAGTGTTGGCAAAATCAAACATAGCTACTATAACATGAGCACTCACTGCCTTCCTGATTTCATTCGAGTCCACGCCACCATACAATTACATTTGTCATGTAGTAAATCCACAGAAGAAATTCTCTCAGACACTTACCCTTGACTTTCCTTCAGCGTCCATTAAGAGCTCCACGTATGTTACCTCACCAACTACAAATCAGTTTCCAGACGACACATAAACCAAGGGAGAAAAGCCAAGAAAACAATGGGAATTTAGAACAATCATCAGCAACCTTGTATGGAGCCTCTGCCTTATAAGAAAGCCCAGAAACACTCCATATTCTCTAAGCCACCAAACTAGGCATTACAGGTGTGCAGTAAAAGTAGGTGAAAACTCATTAACAATATGTCCTTGATTTTCCTCCCACCACAAACAAGCTACTTCCACAGATTTCAATTATCTATTTCCCTTCCTAGAATACTCATTCATGACTAGAGGCAATCCAAATCTATAGGAAAGAAGTCTGCATGATTAACTTTTTKGGGGGAGAGAGGAAGTTTTATACATACACTCTTACTAGTGAAAGCAGATAAACAATCCACAGGTTGCAATGCCACTGCACTGAGCTCAAATGCTGTATATACAAGAACGCTCAAAGACACACACACACACAGCCCCAAGGTCAGCTTCATGAGTGGCAACCTGTGTAATCAGAGACCTATGCTTGTTTTAATATTTTCAGAGCTACCATGATATAATTAATTTGTTAACAAGAGGCCTCTCATTTTCATTTTGCATCGGGCCCCACCAATTCTGTAGCTGGTCCTATACACAACGCTAGGCCCCACAATTTAGAATATACAATCGTAAAATAAAGAGCAGCATCTGGATTCTCTTCAGTGAATTAAGTCAGGCTTTAATCTTGCTGCTTTCTAAACCTCCCAATGAAAGGACACAAATTCAAATTTAGGGCTCAGTTGGCAACTAAACAGTTAAACAGATTCATAATTCTAAGCTACACAAAGGGTAAAAGATCAAAGCATTTCAAAAGTTTCGGCAGATTTTCCTYAAGGTTTGGATTGCCAATTCATGACCACCATGACCAGATATTAGAATCCATCAAGAAAACCACCAAAATGGCTACTGAACTTAAAGATGGCACACAAAAACAAATCTAAAGCTTTAACTTGGAGAAACAATCTCTAAGCAGGCTCTTCAAAGTTAAGAAAGGGCTTTTGCTCTCAGAAATCTTTTCTTAAGGATTTTTGATGTAAAAGCATTCTCCAATTCACTTCAGTTCATTTAGCAGTACAAGGGTAAAATTAACCCACTCAGTGCCCTTGAAAGGTCCAGACTATTCCAACTCCTTTGTTCAAAGGACATTGAAATTATAAAAGATTTCACATTACTATAGCAAGGAAAGATTTTATTGAAAAGCAAAATTATTTCAAAAATAAAATTAACATTTTGAAGGGCATATTTACTTATGGATTTGCAACATGGTTTAAGGCGAGGTGGCAGTGTTCAAAGTTTAAGTCTACAGCCTCTTTCCTTGTCCTTTCCTGAAATACTATAAAACTAGCACTTTGCACAAAAAAGGAAGGCGAATCAGTGCAAAGAAATGAAGAAATAGGTGGGACCAATATAGTTAACTTTTGGAGTTTATACTCCAATGGGCAATTAAAAACCGATCACAGCCAAAGGATAGTCCTATATCCTGGCTTTATTTTAAACTTATAAGTAAAGCAGTTCCAAAAATGGTGTGGCCATTCCTGAGGCCATGTTAGCCATCTGTTTCAACAGTAGCAGTCATTCAAGGACCAAGAGCCCTTGCTTCCACTTTGATGAAAATGCCAACTAGTGTCAAAACAGTAAAGAGATACCCCAGGTTTATTTCCTACCAGCTAAGACTACCACCTAATAACCTTAAAAAAAAAAATCACAACATCTAATTCAAGACAGCTATAACCATGTTATCAGAACTCAAATACTGCTGCATTTGAAGTTCCCAGCCTGTGTCCATAAAGACACTTTTATCAAAAAGTTGTTATTACAACCTAGAAAACAATCAAGTCCAAACCAAACTTTTTTTCTGCAGTCATAATCATTTTAACAAAATAACAGGTTTAGAAATTACAACTTTTTCCACTTAACATTGTAGTGATAGCACACACCCAACTTTTAATCCTTTGCACTAAAAATTTACTTTAAATTTACTTTTTTTCCTCCATATGGTACAGCTGTGGCTCCAGCATTAGTACTGTCCTTGAACATCAGTAGTAATAACCATGTTCCAAATTCWTAACATTCCAATCCCTAGCCTGAGAGACTTTCATCAGTTCAGCCTTTTGAGATCTGTAATTGTTTCCAAATCATAGTTCCCCCTACAGGAAGATAATCATGAAGCCTTTAAAAGACCACTTGTCTTTTAGCACTACAATACTCAAAAGACTCCTTTAATACAACTATCCACAAGAATTTAAAGGCATATTCTGGTCCATTCCATGACATGAAGTTTTAAAAGAGTGAACCATTCAGAGCAGATCACACAGACAGGTAGTAGCACCAATCTCACAGAAGTGGAACTTGAAGTTATAAAAGAGGAAACTGCTGCTCCCCTCCCCTTCTGAATATGGATGGAATCCATGATAGTTGAGAATAGGCTGCTAAGACAAATTCAATTGCAACTGCAAACACCAAAAACATCTAAATGAAAAAACTAAGACAAAATTTCAACGCCAAATGTCAACCTCTACCTTCATTAAAAAATGCCCCAATAAACCATTTTAACCAACATTTAAGTGGTTTATAAAAGTACTGCCCCCAAAATGAGATGCATCATAAGTAGATGAGCAACCCAAAATAAACTCAACTACTGTGATTCACTCTTGTACAAATTTTTATCATAATGAGCATTTGTTTTTGTGCTCCCATTTATTGCTCAAATCTGAAAGAGATAAATAATAGAAGAAATACAGAGGCCAAAAACTTCACTGAAGAGAATTCATATATGTGGTAAGGCCTTCTCCATCTTTGTTTTACTTGGTGCTAGTGATAAAGCCCACAGCCTCATACATACTAAGCACCTACTCTACCACTAAGTTGCACCCTGATCCCCAAGGCAGAGGCATGTTGTCAAACTTCCTTTCCTTAATAGTGGACAACTCTCATGTAGTCACACTAAGTGAGAATAAAATGCACATTTTATTTTGAAAAGCTTTTCTTTGATATAACAAAGAATCTGAAACATAGCAAAATAATTATTCTACACAATTACTTCTTGACTTATTATAAGTCAGAAGATGACTAAGCCCATACTTGTTCCCAATTCATGGTAATAATAGAAGAGTATGACCTCTAACTAGGCCGAAGAACAAAGTAAGCCACACAGGCTGCGCTGCTGGAGATCAACTTCAGTATTCATACAAATGAATGCTTTAGCATAATGGGCCTTTCTGAAGTGCAGGCTGAATTTCCAACAGAGGAAAATATGAAGAAGCATGTAGGCTGGGTAAGGATTTTATTTAAACTGAAAATGAAGTTCTGCCTCATAGACCTAAAAAAGGAGATTACCTTTAGGAGCCAGTCTTTCTATTAGACTACATTTGCCCTCTGGGCCTCAGTTTTATTGTCAGCTAGAATCTGAAATTTACTTAAAGTGATGCAGTACGTAATAACAGAAGGATTAAGTGCTTAAAGAAATCTTTGCTTACATAAGTTAAATTGACTGCTGCTAAACTTGGGATTGATCTGAGAGTAAACTACATCATTGACCTTCCTTTCTTCCTCAAACTGGGCTCTGTATTTACTCAGGGTTGGTGCAGCTCAGCACTACTTGAGATGCAGCTGCCCCACCTAGAGGCTCTCTGGTTAGGACAGGAAAACAAGCAGCCCAGACTGGGCCTTCCTTTATCCACAAAGGATCCCACTAACTTAACACAACATTAAGTTTAAAGTGCCTAAGATCATTTTTTGCTCTCAGAAATCTTGATTGTTTTCTGCCCAGTCCTTATGGTTAAATGCTTTAAGTCATGTATTCCATTATCAGTCATGATGTAACTGGGTAGCTGTGGACTGTTAAAGGCACTTTCAAAGATAGTCTGGCAAACTCCAATTCAAATTTCATATAACACTGGTTGGTTCTCAATTATTTTTCAATCCAGCAACTCCAGTGTTCACAGCAGCCATTTGTTCCACAATATCTGCATTAAAAATACGCATGGGGGCTGTAGATGTGGCTCAAGTGGTAGCGCGCTCGCCTAGCATGCATGAGGTGCTGGGTTCGACTTTCAGCACCACATAAAAATAAAAWATAAGGATATTGTGTCCATCTAAAACTAAAAAAATATATATTAAAAAAATATATATGCATGGTCCAAAGGAAAGACAATAGAAACCTCCCCTTTGTTTCATCAGGACACCTGCAGCAGGAAGGGGAAGGCAGGAAGCAGGTGCTTAGAGCAAGAGCAATCACAAAAACAGTGTCTAACCTACATCTCTCTGACTGCTAGGACAGAAGAGGGTTTGAACAAAACAGCGGCCAGCCTCAAGACAAAAAAGCTTTGACACATTTTCCCTTTAAAATCGGCAATGCTGATTTTTCACGACAGTGCCACCAAATAAGCTTGTAAACAAAAATTTTTACAAGACCAGCTCACATAATATCTCAGATTATTAACAGAATCTCCTAGAATCCATCTAAAAGCTAAAATTAAACAAAGAAGGTTTAAAAGAAGGAAAAGATCAGGAATCAGGGATTGGTACACAAGATAATTTCATGCACAATTACCCTGAGAAAAGCTCCCCTCTTGCCAAAGCTACTACTTTAGTTCTGAGACCTGCAATTAGACACTGCTGCAATGACAGAAAATTCAAGTCGAGGACAACTAATTCTAGCTCTTATTTACTAGTTTCTCAAAATAATAGGACTAAGATTTTATCAGGAATGAACTCTATGGACTGAAAAGTGATTTAACTCTTTTAGGGTGAAAGTGCCTCTATTTGCCATTTTCCCTGTGTTAAGTCTTCAAAAATCTGACGACTTATTGCCAACAGCTTTAAAATAACTATTGAGACTTAGTTTTGGTATACCAAGACATGAATAAAAGTGTATTTTTAAAATTTCATAATGGAAAGAATGAGGACATTTCTTAAGGAGTCAAATGTATGTAAACACCATTTCTTTAGGTTTCATATATTGAAAATGAGCATTACTATAAAGTTACCTTTCTCTTATGAATCACTTTACCCACAATCCAATACTGCTAATAATTTAATTAAATGGCTAAGTAATTAACCAATACAGGGGAGCTCTAAACAAGAACATTTTAAGGTTCGTTAAAAATGACGGATTTACTGCACACCTGTAATTCTAAATTACACCACCAAAAATACACTGAAAAGGGCTGAGCCCAGGCATTCATAGCAGTATGCCAGGAGAATATGAGAACCAGTTTGGAAGTATCCAAATCAACCACCAGGCTGGCTCCACACTTAATACAGTGCAAAATAGTAAATTGAGGTGAACTGCTTCTACATCCAGAAACGTCATGGCTGCTGCTGCTGCTGCTGCTACCAGCTTTAAGGCCTCCAAAACTGAATTACTGAATGGTAAAGCAGTAAAAATGTCACCTACTTTATCCATCATGTCCCAAAACTGGTTCACACACTCCTAAAAATGAAAAAATAATTTGGCCTGCAATCTCTTACAAAATTCTAACAATTGCATTTTCAAAGCCACATTCCTGGTTCTTGGAACTACTATACCTTATTATCAATGGAAATAGCAATTCAGAGGTTCAACCAAATCACAAGAACACAAATTTGGGGGTTATTCCAAGAACTAATTCGAATAAGACCCAACTGTACTGTACAGAAATTCTATTGAAGCAGCAGTCCCAAAAACCAAGAACACTGCATCTGGGATGCCACATGACACGTCCTTCAGACAAAAGAAACTTCACTCTTGCCCTAGGAGTATTGGCAGGAATGATTTGGCTGATCAAGTCAGGAAAACAAATCTCACACCAAACATTTTTCCATCATCTGTATTATCTGGAGAAATACCACATGGGAGCAGCACACATGACTATACAGAGAGGTTCACGGTGCCTAGTGCTTCTTGCATGTCATGGTCAAAATAAGTGATGGGATAATGATGGCAGTGGCCATTCAGAGTTTCAAAACCTAATGCAGGGAGCACCAGTACACATACCAAAATGGCCTATCCAAGTGGCATCTTTGTCACTGAAATGTTCATCATTTGACAAATCAAGCCCACATCTCTCTTCATGATGAATGCTCCAGAAAACCGATTCCTTTCAGTCCTTCAAAAAGACTCCATGAAGGGTGATTTGATTCTAGGGTTCCCTTGGGGGGAGAAGGGAGCTCAAGGCATCATACAAATTTTTCTCTACCAACAGTTTTGTCTAAATCAGGGCAAAGCAATCTCTTTAGTCTTCAGTGCCACCAGCAGGGCCAAGAATGAGGAAAGAAAGGAAGACAATAGCAGAACAGGAGTGAAGAAGAGGAGAACACATGTATTGTATATGGGGGTGAGACAGAGGACCTTGGGGCAGCCTCCTCAGATCTCCTGGTGGCAGCAGAACTCGGTTGCTTCCCATCCCTAAGCTAAAATTTGGATACCTGAGCTCAGATAATGTACATCTTTCAAGGCACATTACTAAGCAAATATTTTATTTTGAGCTCTCCAACTGCCAATCTGTTGTTATTTTTCCCAAAGCAGGAAAACAGAAGCTAGTATTTTACAGTTTAAAATCTAAACAGCATACATTTCAGCTACCAAAATTTGAACCCAAGAGGACATCCACAAAATTTAAATAAACTACCTTCCTGCCAGACTTAAAAAAAAAATTAAAAAGATAAAAATCTTCCCCAAATAATGAAGAATTCGATGAATTACCTTAAAACAAAAAGGCCCCCCTCAAGCCTAATCAAAGCCCTACTAACCATATCAAGCCACTAAAACCATTTATGGGCCAAGGGACCATACAAGCCACTCTGCTTGACATAGGCAAGATCACAATAAAAAGTGGAGTGGGGTTAACTCTAAGCTTGGACAGAACACACACTCTTCCCAGAGCAGCTTCCACTGACAAAAATTAACCAAGGAATTAGCCACACAGAAGATGACACACCAACCTTCTTACCCTACTCAACCACCAGTACCATTACCTTTTTCTTTAACCAGGTCTTTAAGTGACTGCCATTTTACATCAAAAGGTATGTTTGTGATGAAGGCTCTGTATCTTTTAGTTGGATTGGCATATGGCTCAAAGCGATTGCCTCCTCTTTTTATGTTTTTCTCCTTTCTCTTTTCATTCTGAGTAGGTCGTTCTCCTTCACTGAATTCAAAAGAGAAAAAATACAAAGGGTTTATGTTAGCACAAGGTGAGAGCCAATATTTGATTTGATAGGTTTACAATTCCACACAAAATGAATACTGGATTTGAGACTCTGAAACCTAAAGTGTTCCACAGGGCAGATAGTTGCAGTAGTGTGGTTCCTTAAAACCCACCTATTAACAAAACATTCCCCAGAAAAATGCACTTTCCTAGGCTTATGAATGCTCCTATGGCTGTAACACAGGAAAGTAAGGCCAATTACCTGTCCAAGGTGTGTTAATTCTAAGACAGAAACAAAAGGGAAGATTAATAAAATTTCACGGGACGGAAATACAAGACGGTGCACAAAGTCCCAAGCAATTTTCACTTCATGAAAGTCTCTCATTACTGGGGGTATGGTGGATAAAATGGTGCAGCCACTAGGAAAAACAATTTGGTGATTATTCAAAATTAGACAAAAAAATTACCATAACTCAGTGGTTCTACTCCTAAGTACATACCTCCCAAAATTTAAAAGCAGGAACTCAAGATATTTGTACACCAAAGTTCTTAGCACCATTATACATAAAGGCTTCACATAACCAAAGTGTTCACCAACAGGTAAATGGAATAAACATAATGTGGCACATCCATGCAGTGAAATTTTCCAAAAGGAACTAAGTTCTGACACATGCTACATGGATGAACCTCAGGACATGATGTTAAGTGAAATAAGCCAGACAAAAMAGGACAAACACTGTATGATTTACTTATATGAGATAACTAGAATAAGCAGATTCATAGAGACAGAAAGTAAAAACAGATAACCAGGGTCTGGTGTTTAGTAGAATGGGAAGTTACCATATTTAAGGTGTAGAATTTGGGATGATATAATTCTGAGAATAGACAAGTCTTTTTTTGTTGTTGTTGTTGTTGTATATGGACTCAATGCCTTTGTGTTTATGTGGTGCTAGGATTGAACCCAGTGCCTCACAGGCATTAGGCAAGCACTGAGCTATCACTCCAGTCCTGAATAGACAGTCTTGATGACTGCACCACACCGCACTTAACTATTTATTTAACAGTGGTTAAAATGGTATAAATGGTATATTTAATACAAAACCAAAGATGTGTAGCTCAGTGGTGGAACAAGTGCCAAAAGGGGGGGGGGGGACATTCTCTATTCAACTCTACTACTTTGAAGCTAGGAAACTGAAGCTGAGCAACTCTTGTAGACAGGAGACAGTGCTAACAATCCTACCTTCCACAAAGAAGGATGGATGCTTTTTTGATTTAGCGTTCCCTGTAAAACTCTTTACCTTTGTTAATCTTYCCTTCTTTTTGCCTGTTTGTCTTGGGACTAAAGCATGTGTCTTCCATGCTTTAACATTTCATCTCTAAGCGCTACCAATAATAATTTTGGTTGAGTGGGACATGAACAGATTTCAAAGAAAAAAAGTTAAAAAAAAAAAAAAAAACACATACATTTCCAAAGCACAGTATGGGCCATCAGTCTGGAAACCACTGTGTATAGAATCACAGCTAAATGAGCTGTTCTCTCAGATGCCTGCTCAAATTCAGCCCCCCATAACTATATGGAGACTGACAAGTGGGGAGCAGCAGCTTTGGAGAGTTCCTCAGGGGACTAAGTCTTTCTTGCACTTTTTGCTTCTTGAGCCTTAGGCTTTCCACCAGTGAGAACACCAGTGACTTCCAAACCACAGGCTCTAGCATTAAAAAAAATAGAAAACAAAAACGCCAAGACTATGGTATTGATGATTTGTACAACTACCTTTATTTAATTAAAGGGCTGATCTTTTTATTCTGGGATCTGGCTTCCTCTTGAGGGAGAATGCTATTCAAACACCAGATGGTACCTGAAGGACTTTCTTTTAATGTACTTAAAGCTAATTTTTTATAGTCCCCAAAATCATCTTTACTGGTCCTCCACATGCAAACACAAGAGTGACAAATAGTATGGCAGTGAAGGTACACTRTAACTATGACCTATACCCTACTTGATAAAAGGTTAAACTAAGGAAAGCAGGGATGGGAATTTGGCTCAGTGGTAGAGCACTTCCCTAGCATGCATAAAGCCATGGGTTCAATACCAGCACCATATTAATAATTAAAAAAAAACTATATAAGGAAAGCAGCCTCCTTGGTGATCTGAGCTATATCAGCACAGCATCCGCAGGCTTCTCTTCAAACAGGCTAGCAGATGGAGTATGTTATAACCATTCTGATCCCCCAATTCACAGAATTCTTCACTCAGTCTACCTGAGCTCACAACAGATCTCTGCTTAGGGTGGCTAAACATCACAAAGAGAACCCACAACTGTCACAAAAGCCCACCTGTCTACTCTGTCAAGTCCTGCACCAATCTGCCAAAGAGAAAATATCCGCCAAAGCATTTCTTTCTCCTTCCTGGCAGATAAGTGTTAAAAATCATAAAACAGGGCTGGGGATGTGGCTCAAGCGGTAGCGCGCTCGCTCGCCTGGCATGCGTGCGACCCGGGTTTGATCCTCAGCACCACATACCAACAAAGATGTTGTGTCCGCCGAGAACTGAAAAATATTAAAAATTCTCTCTCTCTCACTCTCTCTTTTAAAAAAAAAATCATAAAACATAGACGAATCAACATGCCATGGTCCACCAAAAGGTCTGGGGATGAAAATGTTTTAATAATAGTTTTCTTTTTAAATACTTAGATTTACATTAAAAAATTATTTTGAACCAGGAGCAGTGGTGCATGCCTGTAATCCCAGTAGCTCAGGAGGCTGACACAGGATAATCACAGATTCAAAGCCAGCCTCAGCAACAGAGAAGCACTAAGCAACTCAGTGAGACCCTGTCTCTAAATAAAATACAAAATAGGGCTGGGGATGTGGCTCAGTGGTGAGTGTCCCTGACTTCAATCTCCAGTATTAAAAAAAAAAAAAAATTGACACAGAAATAGTTTGTTTTCATACTCCTCACCTGTTAATTTCAAACAAATAAATAAAGTCACAGTACTGAACAAAATGTCTAGCCCACATTCTGCTGATCCACAAATGGCTAAGAATAAACTACCCAATCTCACCAGAAGCTGAGTATTTGTTTTAGGGTTAATCCATATCACACGGCTCAACACTGAGAAAGCAGCTCACTGCAAACAAATCCTGCTCTGGCTAATCATTTCCTCTGTCCATGAAGTTTCCTCATAAGAACTTTCTCTTGTCACTTCCAGCTTTTAAAAAATTAACCATTCTGAATACCTAATGATCACCATCAATTGTATTCTTTGCAGAAAGAAAAGGACCCTCAAAGAAATTTCACTCAAGACATATGTTCGTATATAGAGGATGTTGATAGTGATATTCTGGAAAGTTCATTTTTAAATGTCCAATCCTATTTTCTCACTTATCTTCAGAATAAAATGAGGAAAATATTTCTATCCCTAAAATATATACATTTMATTTTGAAGGCCTTTTAGAATGACATTTTTAGATAGATTATACTTTGATATTGATAAAAACAAATTGCTTTACACCTAAAATATTTGGAGTATCATAGACATTTAAAATGAGGTTTGTACCAAGCATGGTGACGCACACCTGTAATCCCAGTGGCTTGGGAGGCTGAGGCAGAAGGATTTTKAGTTCAAAGCCAGCCTCAACAAAAGCAAGGAGCTAAGCAACTTAGTAAGACCCTGTCTCAAAATAAAGTTCTACCCATACTCTATACCTCAGCATCACATACAAAACCAAACTTAAAATAGATAAATCTAAAAAAGTGATAAATCAGCCTTTAAAATAAGTCATGCCACAAACTATAAGACCCTTATCAAAATGTACAAAAATAAAAATATAAAATGTAAATTAAAAATGCAAATTTAAAAAAAAGAAAATATTTGCAAAGTCAGTATTTGGACAAAGGTGTTATATCCAAAATATAGAAAGAACACCTCAAAACTCAGTAATAAAAACACAATTTTTAAAATGGACACAAGTTCTGAAGACAGTTCTCCAAAGATATATGGATGGCAAATAAGCACATGCAAAGAAATCCAACATCACCAGTCACTAGGGAAATGCAAAATAAAGGGGCTAGGGATGTGGCTCAAGCGGTAGCGCTCCCCTGGCATGCGTGCGGCCCAGGTTCGATCCTCAGCACCACATACCAACAAAGATGTTGTGTCCGCCAACTAAAAAATAAATATTAAAAATTCTCTCTCTCTCTTTAAAAAAAAAAAAAGGAAAAGAAAAGAAATGCAAAATAAAGCCAGATACCACTACACATCTGTCAAAAGAGCTAACATTAGAAAGAGTATGGGGGGGTGGGGGGCAAGGGTTGTGGCTCAGCAGTAGAGCCCCCGCCTAGCACACGCAAGACGCTGAGTTCAAACCTCAACATCACATAAAAATAAATAAATAAAATAWATGTATACTGTCTAACTACAACTAAAAATATTTTTAAAAATAAAAAGAAAAAAGAACATCCAAGCCAGATATGGTGGTACATGCCTGCAATCCCGGCAACTCAGGAAGTTGAGGCAGGAGGACTGCAAGTTGGGAGGTCAGCCTTAGCAACTTAGCAAGGACCTATCTTCAAAGTAAAAAATAAATAAATAAAAAAGGACTGGGGATGTAGCTCAGAGGTTAAATCCCTTTATCAAAAAACTAAATAAAAATAAATTCATACCAAACAATAAAAAGGATATGGAGGAACTGGTAAGAATGTAATAGCATGACCACTTTGGCAAAGTTTGGTACTACCTTAAAAAATAATTGCATATTCAACTAGACCCAATTACCCACAATTAACTACTTACCCAAGACAAAACAAAGCATACAGCCATACCAAAATTTGTACTCAAATATTCACAGCAGCATTATTTTTAATATCCCCAAGCTGGAAATTCAAATATCTAACAGGTAAATAAACAAATTGTAGTATATCTATATAACAAAAAGTAATAAACTACACGCAATTAGAGATGAATCTCAAAAGTAATTATCCTCAAAGAAGCCAAACCCCC